CATCCTCACCTAAACCACCCACAAAGCCACCCAGCTCATCTTGATGCAGAAACACTTGCCCCTTTTGTAATCTTTTTTTCACATCGCAACCAAAATGATTTTTAAAATGCAAAGCTGGCCACCTCACCTTATTTAAAAACTTTAAGTAGACTTACCAGTTCTCAGATAAAGACCTGCTTGATCTGGCCCCTGGCTGCCTTCTCTGGTATAAGCGCTCTTCTCTGGCCGGTCTTCCCCTCGACCTCTCCACTTCACTTCAGTCATGCTGGCTTTCTCTCTGTCTTTGAACCTGCCACGCTCCTCCTGCATTTTGTGCATGCTGCTGTCTGTCTGGGAGGCTCTCCATTCAGGCATTGATGCCTCAACCTTCAAAACTAACGTGATCCCGTTAGGGGTTCGCCTTGCCTGGTAATCCTTCCTCTGTTTTCCCTAACGCTCCACACCCACTGAAATGAGCTCAGCTCCCTATCATGTGCTTGTAGAGCTTCTCATACATTTCCTTTAAGGTGCTTCTCAGTTTGTAGAATATACTAGTGTGGTTATTCCAATAGTGTCTGTCCACCTCACATTTGTGAACTATATATAAAATTGTTTATTGAAAGAGTAAAAGGATAATCTTCACAACTGCTCAGGAGAACTGTGTTACCACCCTCATTTTAGAGATGAGTACTTTAAGTAACCTGTCTAAGACCACTCAACCAATAAGTGGGGGAACTGGGATTGGAACCTGCACTCCATCTATGAGACTAGGTATCATAAGGGCAGGGACCATGTTTGCTTTTCCTGATTGTTGTATCTCTAACACTGAGCACAGTGCCTGGACTATCTCGCATATTTTACTAAGGAGAAAATGTGCTTAGATCATTGCCTATACACAGTACTTCCATTTTATACACACATATATAAAAATATATAAATATTATTTATACAGTATATATCACATAACGCTACGTGTCTGTATTATAAATAATGTATGTTATATATGTAAAATTAATAATGTCAGTTTAAACTTGCAAACACTATTAAGATAACTGATAGAATCAAGCATAGTTGGTAAATTCATTTATGTATGACTAACGGTGACCAGCTTTTCGTTTTCCTCAAAAACTCCTGTTGCATTTTCCTTTTATGACCAGGTATGTACAAGCTGTGAGGACAATGCAGAAGCAAATGGCTTTTGTGTGGAGTGTGTGGAGTGGCTCTGCAAGACCTGCATCAGAGCTCATCAGAGGGTCAAGTTCACAAAAGACCACACCGTCAGACAGAAAGAGGAGGTGTCTCCAGGTAATAAGTTAGTGCTTTTCTTTTTTTTTCCCCCCTCTGTTCCTCTCTCCTTCTCTTCTTCTTTCCTATACTAATTTGTTTTGATACATTTGTATCAAAACAAATACTAGGAGGTCTGTGCTATAGTAGAAATTTGAGTAGTTACAAATGCTGGTAAGTATGAATGGATACAGGATCCTCCTGCCTTACCCTCACACTTCCAATCCTCTTCCTCCTGTAAATGTCTTGACTTAGTGTGAATGTACAACAAATGAAAAAAAAATTACCTTTTAAAATATTCTTTCTTCTTTTTTCCTTTATCTCTTAAGATGACAAGGGATAGGCTTAAAATAAAGTTTTACAACTCTTCCTTCTGATATTCTTGTAGTAAACTAGCTTCATAATATTCATCTGATATATTTTTGAGTTTCTGGGTTTTTATTGTGTTGTTTTTAATGTAAAGCTC